CTCCGCGGGCCGCGGGCTGGCCGCAGCCAGCCGCGGCGAGGAGGCGCGCGCGCGCGGGCAGCGCAGGGCGACACCGAGGGGCGATGCCGCGGGCAGGTTTACACAAGCGCGCCTAACTTCGTGCCTCGCGCTGCGCGAAGTGCGACTTCGCGCTCTCGCGCAGCCCCCGAGGGGAGAAGAGGAAGATGAGGAAGAATCGGAGCCGAAGCGCGAATGACTTCGCGACCTCGAGGGCGCCCTTGTCTACAGCCAGCGCCGTACCAGAAGCAACGCCAAATCAGGAAAGAAGGAGCTTTTATGGCCACGGCGAGCCTCGGCTTCGAGTAAGTTCCCCGACCCAGATCGAAGGAGCGGCCCGAACACCGCAACTCCTCTCGAACCATTGGTGGTCATCATTTCGGTGTCTCGACTGGGACGAGGCCGGGATGTAGACAACTTCGGGTGAAGGTATAAAAATCGACGAGGGCCGACGGGGCCGACGAGGTCCCGAAATGGCGGAAGGGACCCCCAAAAACGCGCCGCCGCCGCGCCGCGGGAAGACGCCCTTCCAAGAAAGCCCCGGGACTCCCAAGAGGCCAGGAGGTCTCCACGTTGCTTCAAATAGGTACCCAACATAAGACGAAACCAAGACGAAGACAACTTCGGGTGAGGATCCCTGTCGCCGCGCCGCTTGTTCTCGATGCGCCTAAGTGGGCGACGCCGACACCGCGGCAAACCCACGGCCAGCCCTGCGCCCCGCGCCCAAGTAGACGACGCCGGCGCCGCGGCAACCCCCACGGCAAGCCCACCGCGTCCAAGGCGGCATTTGCCCTGGTGCCCGTGGCGCCCTCCCCAAAACGCGAGGCCGCGCGTCGGGACAGACGGCGCGGCGACGTTCTTGAGATCCGGCGCCTCAGGAGGATATATCGGGCGCCGCGCCTACTCAGAACGTCCCAAAGCGCTCTGGATCGGACTTATCCTCGTCCTAGCCCCGTCCGGAATGATACGACCGAGCGGTTCAAACTTACCCCAGCAGTGTGCCCTTATTAATAGTAGCGGATAGGGAAAGCTGCGTGCCGATGAGTGGGAGGTCGGCGAACGAGAACGTGCACTCCTACAAATATCCTAAGATTTTCTCGGAACGTTGACTGGCGGAACAGGCGTGAGAGCACGGCCATGCCACATGAGTATCCGCCACCACGCCCCCTTGGCGCGTTGGCGCGTGCTAGAATGCCAGGTGCCGTTTTGAAGGGTTTCTGCAATTTTGTAAGGGCCACCCCCCTCTCCCCTTCGCAGCGACTCGCATGCGCCGCCTCCTCTTCCCGAGGCGCAGATGCCTCCAAGACGGCGTAATCTCGCTCCAAGACAGGCCACTTAGGCCTCAAAGCGGCCGAATATGGCGTCAAGACGGCCCACGAAACCGTCAGCGCGCCCGAAGAGAGCCCCAACAACTGCCCCCAGCAGCCGCCCCCAGAGGGCCTCGAGAGGCAACCATCCTTAGTCCCCCCCAGATGTTTAAATGCTTTTCGGGTTTCCGATGTCCCAAAACGAATCAAGAGGCCACCAAGACTGCCCCAAGACAGCGCAAGAGGCCCTCAAGAGGATATTAAGGCCGATCCCAACCGCATCGGGTCGTTCACGGACGATTTGGGACTGATTTCTACCAGCGGAACGGGACTGATCCCAATGTGTCGGATTCCTTGCGTAATCCTATAAGGCGAACGCTAGATTACAACTAGGGGCGCGTACTGCGGCTTCCCTGCGCTTGAAGGATTCCTGAGGATTCCTAAGGGATTCCTTTCTGAAGGTTCCTGAAGGATTCCTGGGGGATTCTGACAGAACTTCTCGGGTTTCGCAGGATTGCTGCGGATTTCGAAAGGATTCCGGAGGATTTCTACGGTTGGAGCCCCTGGGGCTGGCACCGCCGTGCCCCGCAAGGAAGGCCCCCCCCCCCCCCCCCGAGGTGATCACGGCGGGTCCCAAGTGGGCGACAACGACCGCCGCCCCGCCGACGTCTACCTGCCCTGGTGGCGCAACGGCGCGGCGGCGGCCTGAGACTTTGCCGCCGCGTCCAGGACGCACGCCGATCTCCTCGCCGCTTCGGCCGCTTCGTCGAATGCCCCGACGGAGCGGCACTAGGAGTTCAAGAGGCAGTGCCAGGACACCGCGCGCGCGGCAGTGCGCGGCGCAGTGCTTCACCTTCCTCCTCTTGGCGGTGGAAGCCCACGGCGACGGGTGGGGCCGCGAGGCGCGCGGGGCTTTTGGGGTCCTGGCCACTGTGGCAGCGGAACAACGCTCCCAACGACTGTCGGTCTCCCTGCGTAGGGAGCGCGCGGGAAGTGTTGCGGCGCCTCCAGACGCAGTCGGGAAGGGCGGAAGTGGCCGCGGCCAGTTTCGCCGCGGCCGCGACGGCCTCCGCGGCCCGCGGCTCTCCTGGCGCTGCATGGCGCCCCCCGCCCACGCCCCCTCATCCTTGCCGGGCAGCGCGAGCGCCCCCCCCCCCCGCGCCCCTCCGCCGGCCGCCCCTTCATTGGCGGGGCGGTGCGTGAATCCCGCAGAGGGCAATCCCAGCCAAGATGCAGCGTGTCGGGCTCGGTCAAGCACCCCTGCATGTTGAAGTTAAGAGGCCAGAACCGATGTTTTCAACTATCTCGACTCGCCTGGTGCCAGGCCGTCGGAGCCACCGTCGCCTGCGCAATTAAGCGTGACGCGCCTGCGCGGGCGACCCCGCCTTCTGCCGGTCCGGCGCTGAAGCTTGGGCAAACGCGCGCGCGGGAAAACCTTCGGACGCCTGCCCGGGGGGGCCCGCCCCGCGGAGCCGAGGGCGGGGCGCAGACGCAGAAACAACCCTCATTTTCCCACCCGTTTCACGCGGACTGGGGTGTGGGGGCCGGCAGCTCGCCGGCAGCTCGATGGTGTCTTCAATGTCCTGATGCCAACTGAGCGCGCGTAATCATGGCTTTGGCTGGCCAGCCAAGCCTGTCTGATCTCTCTGGGCCGGTGCCCCAAGTGCAGAAGCTCGCATCAATCTAACGCGCGTGACCTCCTTATCCCACTCTCTGCCAGCAAAGCCTGTGACCAATGACTCCTCCAGCACGAGAAGTTCAGAGCAAGTTGGTCACGCGAGCATCCTGGGGGCCCGATCGGCGATGGGAATCGGTGCTTCGAAAAATCCAGTTGGGAACCTGAGCGCGCGGAAATTTCATTCGGATGGTGCAGAGAGGTTGCCAATGCAACGTGTCTCGTTGGAGGGTCTTGCTGGCTCCACGCATCGCCTGTGCAGCCCAGGAAATGCTGGCAAGGCTGATGCCATCACGTACGGCAGAAGTCAATGACGCGTCGAGGTCTCGGTGGATGGAATCTGTTTTCAGGACCTCGTCTGCTTGGCCCGCATCGTGCGCCCTCAACGGTGGGCCCCGGCATATGGGCCCCGCGCTTGCGGCAACATCCCGAACGATCTCGTGGGCGTAGGCTCCTGATTGCCGAAGCGACGTCGGCAGCTGCTGTAGACAAGCTCTGGACCGTAGATCCACTAAAGACTTAGAGTGTAAGATGCGCGAAGGCCCTGGCCACAACTCTCGTGGGGGCACGTCCCGGCATAGAGGCGAAGGGCACGATGACGCGGAAGCAGCTGTGACCCTGTTTCAGGCAAGAATGCATCAGATGGCGCGGGTATACATCGCCACAAAAGGCAACGACATTCGGAATTGCATTGTAACGCTTGCTCTATATAGTCGGGTGCATGCTTGGAAGGCTCCTGAATGACAGCGCCGTGTTGGTGCCGAGCAGAAAGCGTGGAAGGCAACCGCCGCATAGTTTACGACGCACGCGTAGAACTTCGCGCGGCCTTGCATCTGTCATGGCCCAACTCGAGCTCGCGCCTCTTAGCTGGTCAAAGCACCGTTTCATCGGAAAATACACAGCTGCAACCGTAAGACCGACGAGTCCTTGTCCTCGCATGTCGCTACCAGTTCAGATCCATAGAACGGCCAGCGAGGATGCCACGCCGCGCGCAGAAGAATCCCAACGCCACCACTCGCGCAATTAAACCTCATTGTTGGCGCACGGATCTGGGGGTCGAGGAAGCGGCGGGCATGCAACGCCGTGTCCAGATGCATCGCAATAGCGATACCACATTCGGCACTGCTGTCGAAGACGTGGCATCATGGACCCGAAATTGTCTACAGGACGGTATGTCAATGAAAACGGGATGCGGAGCATGTCCAGACCACCACATGCATAATCAACAACAACCTGGTGTCCAGTATCGTCCACTGCGGAGAACTTGAAATGCCGGACAAACCGCTGAACAATGATCAAACTTGTTGACCAGGGTTGAGCGGGGGAGTGAACGATGCGCGACCTCCGAATGCAGAATGCAACCCAATTTGGCCGCTCAGCACGTTGATCTTGTACGGTTCGGTTTTTCCGCGGTGACAACTGCAGACTAGAACTCTCAGAACACAAGAACTTCACTACGGCAGGCCTCGTGTCGTATCACATTTCGCTAGGGGTGTTTTCACCCTGACCCTGCAGCTGCGGGAAGTCAACGACGATGCAAAAACATATATCCAATACAAGACGTCATCTCGAAACTGGCTGCGGGCGCAAACTACCGGAGGATGGGCTGCAACGTATCTGAGAAAATACCAAACTGAACCAACGCCATGAATATTAGCAGGTCCCTGTTGAAGGCCACATTGTCACATTGTTTTTGGCGCAATTTGTCATAAACAAACTCGAACGGCATGTGGGAAAAATGCGGACTCGGGACACTTGGCGGCAACCATTCTCCAAACCCATGTACGCAACAATGTTAGCAACCACTTGGCGGAGGAAGAGGTCTGCAAACGACATGGTTATGCTGGGGACGTCCCGATGAGAACGCTGGCGACGTTCACGCCGGGAGGCTCTGCAGCGGGCGCGGGGGCGTGGAGTGCAATGTGCATGATGACCGGCATGGACACGTACTCCAAGAGTGGACGGGAGATTGTTCGCATCTGGTTGTGCGAGTGTGATCA